TACCAGCAGTTTCCCAGGAGAAAGATGAAGCTTTCAGCTCTTGTAAACCTTTACAGCCTTGGAAATCCTACGCAGGGTCGGTACGAGTCGGAACTGACTCCACGGCACACCACCACCACCACAGATGTCATGTGGGACTCTGAGCACAGAAGGACAGGGGTCACATATGCCCAGAAGCCTCTCTGTCCATGCCTCTCCTCACATGTCCTCTCCTAGCCCACAGCGCCACCTGCTGTCCTGCATCCAGGGTTCTAGACCAGTGCCTGCAGACTAGGATGGGCTGGTGTGCTGGGGACAGAGGGATTCTGGAGGTGCCAGACTTCAGGGCTAAAACCAGGCAAGTCTGGGGAAACCAAGCAGTTGGTTGTCCTAATACAGACACGGGACCCCCTGCCCCAAGACTGCCCTATACACAGGCAGGGCTGAGACTGAGGGTTCTGGTCGGAGACTGGTTTGGCTGGGAGGATTGGGGTATCCATCAGCACTGCTGTATCGACTGCACTTACTCCAGAGTAACTGCTTTCAGAGAGACCCACCTGAGCCCTGGGGCCCTGCCCAGGAGGAACTGACTGACACCTGAACTCTGCAGGATGGCCTGACAGACTAGAAAAGAAACAGCCCAAGCAAAGGCACAGAACTGAGGGAAGACAGAGTGGCTATGGGAGAGAGAGCAGAGTTTAGCTAACAGCAGAGCACAGCCCTGGTCCTGGTCCCCTTTACACCTGTCTGTGTGCTGGCAAGAGTGCTGTGCTCTTTTGAGCATTCCAGCATGAGAGATAAACAAGATTGTCACTCTCTCCAAACCCACCCAGTTCAGTCACAAACTCCCAACAAGCTGTCCCAATCAGCTTCCAAACATGTCTTCAAGAGTTAAGATCCCAGGCATGTGAACCATCCACTCTGTAAACAATGAGAGAGAGAGAGAGAGAGAGCACAAGGCCACTATTAGAACACCCTCGACCTGACCCAGCTTCCTCTCTGCGCCAGAGAGATAGGCATTGCACAGAGCTGCCCTATCATCTGGACTGAGATGCTATTTAAAAGTACTGCTTAGTTAGGTCTGCTTTGCTTTTCAGCACATCAGGGCCTGCACATGCCAAGTTACAAATATAGATCCCAGAGGCCATGTCAAAAGAGTGGTGAAGAACTGGCTGACCCAAGTAAGGCTGGCCAGAGTAAATATTTACTAAGCCTCACTTGTATGAGGAGGCAGCGCTGAGCACCGAGGTCACAGCAGTGAGGAAGTCGACCTTCTCCCTGCACTCCACACAGGAATGGTAGGTGAGCAGGCACCAGACTTGGTGTGTGGGACACAGGATGAGCTGTGCTGGGGTTGGGAGGCAGTGTCCAGGGCTCACGGAGGCACACAAGAAGCAAGCTGCTGCGCTCAGACCAGCAGTTCTCAGCACCACAGCGTGATCATGGTACCAGGTCCATTTTCAGACCATCACAACCATGTGGGTACTACTGACATCTAGTGGGGAGAGACCAGAGATGCAGCTGGACCTACAGTGCACAGGACAGACCCGGATGTTAGTAGAGCTGCGCACAAGGCAGGGTATAGGGGGGGCCTGTGAGAACATGGAGGGCAGCCTGACCAGATGTGGAGGTCCCGGCTGAGGACAGATCAAACCTCAGGGAAGGGACAACTAAAGCACAAAGTGGGGAGGAGGTAGCTGACAAAGGCACCTTATCCCAGACAATGGGGTGTGGGGCCTGACTCTGCCTGGGGCAGGGCCCTGGGCTACCTGGCCTGGGAGACTGGGATCAGAGAAGGAAGGAAGGAAGGCTGTGCAAAAGCTCATCAGTGCCTCCAAAGAGAGGGAGGGACACAGGCAGAAGCAGGGTGACCCCGGACCTCTGCAATGGGCACCTGGGGCGAGGGGTGGTGGCAGAGAAGGGGAAGCACTTCAGGAGACCCTGGGAGAGTTTCTTTCTGGATGTGGGGGTATGTGCTGGGCCTAGAGACACCCCAGTGAAGCCAAAAGAACCTTGATCAAATGTTGGGGCTCCTTCTTCCTGAGCTCTGGCCACACCTGAACTGGACATTGACTCTGTCCTAGGAGAGCAGAGGCCACTTGCTGGCTCCACACCTGACATATAGGACTTCCGTCAGGCAACAGGACAGGAAAAGGAGCCACAGCAAGAGAACAAAAGCTCAGTGTGGAAGTTCCTAGAAAGGGCAGTGACCCAAATCCAAAACCAAGTGCATGGCCATCAAGTTGATTATCAACTCATATCAACATTACAGGGCAGATTACAACTGTCCCATAGGGTTTCCAAGGCTGAGAGTCCCTGTCCCCTCACTGACTCTCACCAGCCAACCACTTAATCCCAGAAGCGTCAGCCAACCCACCTTGCCTCAGAACACCCCACAGTCAGCCCACTTCCCTCACCCCCACTGAGGCCATCCAAGTCCCAGCCAGGGTGCCTTTTGTAGCCTGTATTAACCCCAGAAGAAAGGCTGATTGTCATGCAGCAGTTCTGAGGGGCAGTGGGCATTAGCCCAGAGCTGGGCAGGGCAGAGCCAGGGCACACAGTTCTGAAACTAGTTTTTCCTGCCAATCCTCTGCCACCCCCGCCCAGCAGCAGCCCATAAACCAGGTTTGGGTAAGTCTTCTCATTCAGAAACAACTCTGAGGAGCTCTCTGTCTCTCCCACTAATGACCACAAACTGTTCCAATGAATAATTTTCTCCAAAATGAAGCAAATAAAATACTTAGGACCAAAAATAACTTTCGGCAAACACACAGCTCTGGAACTGCCTATGCCGCGGACACTCAGCTGTTCTGGAAATCTCTATGGGTCAAAAGCATGGCTTTAAAATAACTATGAAAATGCATGCTAGTAAGGGTCAGCCAGAAAATAACCAAGAGGGACTTGTGCATAAAAGTGTCCCCAGGACCCACTGTGGCTTTGGCACATCAAACTGCCCTTTAAGAAGGGTTGGCCAGCAGGTAAATGGCCACTGTGGACTTCGGAGGGTGGCTGGTGCTGGGGTCCCTGAGGCTTCTTCAGCACAGCCTCTGGAGCCAGAACCTCTTGGTGGGAGAGGGAACCATACATGCTCCACACTGAGCCCCATCAGGACTAGGGTCCCTTCTAGCAGGCCAGCAGCTGTTTGGTTTCTTCATTTCTTGCTGCTGTAATAAACAATCACAAACTCAAAAGAATAGAAACTCATTCTCTCACAGTTCTGGGGGTAAGAAGTGTGAAATCCTATCACTGAGCCAAAATCCAGGTGTCGGCTAGGTCCTGCTCCCTCTACGTGCTCTGGGGGAGAAGCCCTGCTTGCCTCTTATGGCATTCCTTGACTTGTGGCCCTATCCCTCCATTCTCTGTTTCCATCTTCATATTTCCTCTTTGTATATGTGCATGTGTAAACTCCCTCAACCTCTTTCTTATACTACACAAACATGCCACTGAATTTACGGTTCCCCGATAGTGCAGGACTGTCTCCCTGGCTCAAGATCCTTACTACATCATACCTGCAAAGACTTTTTTGCCATATAAGAACACATTCACAAGTCCCAGTAAGTAAGTGGTGGGTATCTTTTGGGGCCTGTCTCACCAGCGTGGTTGGGGAGCCCAGAGAGTAGGCTGGTGTGAGGGAGGGAGGGAGGAGCCCTGGTGGCACTGTGGTTAAGCTAACGGAAGGATCGGCAGCCAGTCCAGACTTGCACAGGACAAAGATGGCGCAGTTAGCGTCTGTGAAGATTACCGTCTCAGAAACCCTCCTCTGTGCGACTGAGGCTGTAGGAGTCGGCACCAACTTGAGGGCAATGGGTTTGTTTCGGGAAAATATGAGGGGAGGAGGAAGGAGGGCCTGCTCAGCAGCAGAATGCATGGGAGAAGGGCAGCCCTGTGGACGTGTGAAGAAGGCTTGTAGGGCAAAGCACTCCATCCCAAACATGTGAATCCCACTGACCTCAATTCGTCATCGATTCAGCCCAGGCAGGCGTGGCCTATCCTCACCCACTCACCCCCCCCTTGAAGCCAGCAGTGCGCCCTGTCCTCTTGTTCCCCTGGCTGGCCCGTTGGCCATGAAGCAGGGCCAGCGTGTTCAGACAGGTGGGACCACTCATGGAACACAAGCCTATGAGAAGGAAGCAGCCCCTGCTTGCCCCGACCTACCCACCAGCCATGTCCACCTCAGTTATAAGTCCAATTAAAAACCCCGTCCTGTTCTGTCCCCTAGGCCAAGGGTCCTTTAAATGAAACTAGGCAGGAACAGTTCACGGCTGATACTGCTGCTCTCTGCCTTCTCTTCAGGTTTCCCTCAAGGACGATCACAGGGCATCTGGCAGGCTCCATGCAGCTCCACTACTGCACCCCAGGGCTGAACCCCATGTCCTAGGGCTGGGGTAGGAAGCAGCCCCAGGGCACATCTGCTGCCAACATCTGTTAGGGATGGTGACAAGAGTGGGCCAGAGAGATACCCCACAATCTTGGGAAAGGAGCACTCTTACCTTCCTCAAATCCCACCAAGCTTAGGCCCCTGTGGGTGCAGACCAGGTTCCCTAATGAATGGCCGCCAGGTCTCTTGTGTTTGCAATTCACATGGGCTTCTTATGCTATAGCACACCTTAGTCCAGGAGTGAGCAGACTCTTTTTGCAAAATGCCTCATTTATCAAAAATCAAAATTTGATGAGAGCTCATGGCAGGGCAGGGAGTCACAAGAAATGGCTTCATTGTGTAACTTGGCAGAGAGAGAAGAAAACCCCACAACTTAGATATGGGTATATTAGATATGGGCATATTGGAGTTGGCACTTCCTGGAGGCTAGGTAAGCCAAACGCTGACGTCAGGCCACCTATGCCATCCAAGACCAGATAGTTGAGCATCAAGATGTTCCATCAGTCTTTCATGCCAAGGTTGTGGAGCACCTCTGAAGTTATGGGGGGCGGGGTGCAGTAGTGAGGCCAGGCCCAGTCTCTGCTATGCACTGGGCAGGCCCACTCGGCAGACAAAGACAGGGAGCATCCAGCAAAGTTCTTACCACATTCCAGAAGAGCGGGTTGAAGGCAATGGTAAGAACAGCAACCACAAAGCTGGGATCCAAGGGGTTCACGTAGCTCAGCAGCCGGGTCATAACGCAGAGCTCTGCCTGTTGGGGCAGAGAGGGCATCAGTGAGAAAAGCCCGACCAGCGCCCTGTGGCCAGGCCCACAGAACTCAGAAACAAAGTTACTCTCTGGGAACAAGTGGAGGTTTGGAAACAAACAAGCAGCAAAGGCTACTACAGTGTGGTCTCATAAAACTGAGGACAAGTAGCTGAAACTTAATCAACTGTGTCATGCCCTGTCAGAGGACACAGAGGAGCAGAGCAGTGGGCACAGAATGCGAGACAAAGACACCAGAATCAGCAGTCAGAGCAGTTAAGTGGGCAAGGCACGGATAGGACCCACCAGGGTTGAAATTGACAGCAGCCCCACAGAAAACCCAAGAGGGTGAGATATGTGTTAGTAGATGCTCAGCCTCCCTAGGAAACTGATAAAAACAACAGTAACTATTGTTAATGGCAGTAGGTAAATGCTGTTACATTTACAGTCCTGCAATAATAGTGACATGCAGGAGGAACAGGTGTGGGAGGGAGACCCATAAATACATATAAATCTGACAGGGGGTCTCTGTACATGGGTGTTTTCCTTTGCAGCAAATACATCCATGAATGTGGTGGAGAATTTGTTGTTGTTGTTATGTGCCGTGGAGTCGGTTCCGACTCATAGCGACCCTGCAGCGTGGAGAATACAGAGGGCAAAGTTATGAAAACTTCTTAGACACAACTAAACACCTTGAAAGAATGAGTTGCTGGGCCTGGGGGCTCAGAACCATAGTCTCAGGGGTACGTCAGTCTCAGGTCAACCAACATTACACAGTTCATAAATCCAACTTGTCGAGTAGGTCTTGAAAGCTCACGATCAGCCATTTAAGGTGCAACTCTTGGTCTCTCCCTGCGCAGAGAAAAATGATGAAAATGGAAGATGTACAGAAACAATTAGTCCAAAGGACCAAGAGGCCACAGGGTTTGGTCTCCAGGTGAGACCAGAAGAACTAGATGGTGCCCAGCTACCACGACCAACTGCTCTGAAAGGTATCCCATTAGAAGGTCCTGGAGTGAGAGAGTGGAAGAAAATGTGGAACGCAACTCAGAATCATAAAAAAGGCCAGGCTTACTGGTCAGAGAGTCTGACCCTTGGTCACCGGTCACCCTTTAGGTCTGGAACAGAATTCACCCTGTGGCTCAACTTTCAGACAAGCAATAGATAGGCCTATGGGGGAACAAAGGAGCTCCAGTAGCAAAGTGGTTACGAATTGGGCTGCTAACCTCAAGGTCGGCAGTTTCCACAGGAGAAAGATAAGGCTTTCTGCTCCCATAAAGATTTACAGCCTCGGAACCAACTCCACGGTACTTAACAACAACAACATAGGGGGAACAACACTAGTGAGGTATGTACACAACAGAATGGCCAACTACTGGGGATCAAAAAGGCAGCATATACCTACCTAAGGGGCTGAGTTCAGAAGGCTTGGGAACAAAGGAGGAATCGAAACAAAAAAACACAGGGAGGATGTGGGATAAGTGATGTTATAATGAGACGAACCAGTGTGTCTGATTTGTTAAAACTGATGATTTGCTCCTCACCTAATTCACAATAAAAAGTTTTTGTAAAACGTAAAAACAACAATGCACATTTTATCACCAAGCACACTGTCCCAAACATATACAACAGACCACACGGAGTCCTGGTGAGGGCTGGGCAGTGGCTAGAGTCAAATTGCTAGTGGGTGCTGCTGGATGCGTCCCACACCCAGCAATTCCATTCTCAGGCAGCTGCCTGGTCGAATCTCACCACAGAACACTTACAAAGATGTGCCATCAGCATTGCTTGCAACAGAAATAGGAAAAAACTGAGGTGCCCATGATACAAGAAAGAAAATAAACCATAGCCTACTTCCAAAGTGGAGTCCTGATGTGGCGCTGTGGGTTAATGCATTGGACTGTAATGTTGGCTTCAACTGCAAGGTCGGCAGTTCAAGCTCACCAGCCACTCCTCAGAAACCCTATACAGGGTTGCCAAGTGTCAGAACTGACTCAACAGCAGGTAACGACAATTCCCAATGTCATTAAATCACAGACATTAGTGATTGTGAGCCACAGGCATCCATATTTAAAGTTCTCAAGCACATGATACTAAAGGAAAAAAGCAAGCTGCCAAGTTCATATATTAACTTCTAGAAAACACCACTCATTTCTGTATATATGAAAAGACGAACCACTGAGAATGACCAAGTTCTGGACACTCATTTCCTCTAGACCAAGGCTGCTCACCCTCACATTTCTAACACTTTAGGCCGGGCATTCTTTGCTATTTGTGCATTGCAGGCTATTTAGCAATAATGCCTCCCCAGTTGTACACCAGTCTTTGCCAAATGTCCCCTGAGAGGGCAAGATCAACTCCACTGGAAGCGACTGTTCTCGTAACAAGAGGGAAGACTGGCTGGAAACATTCAAAACTGATTTCTTCCATGAAAACCATGGAGTATACAGGACATTGTGGGTGGCAAGTCCCTTACTAACTGCTTTTGCATTATCATTGTGCTCTTCTTGGTTTTCATTTTAACAAGGCCTTCAAAGGCCTGGAGCACTGGACAAGAGGTACCTCTCCACATGCAATCCAAAACAAAAGCACAAAATCATGTAAGTACCAGTCTACTGGGGCTGCGAGTTTCCTATGTGTCTGCACTAGTTAGTGGTGTGGTGTGTTTCATTTGGGAATATATTATTTCAGAAAGTGCTCTGCTTGACTTTGAGGATGGGTGCGTCAGGTCACCCAGCCAGCAAGTGCAGCACCTGGAGATGAAACCAAGGGCCCTGCCCTCACCTGGATGCACCTTTCCTCCCTAGACAAGCAGCAGAAGTCACCTCTGCTCCCATTCTTAGCTCACACAGGAGAGAAAAGTGAGCAGAGAAAGACGGACCTGTGATCACCAAGATAGAAGAAGCGGAAGTGGAGTGTGTCCTTTCACCTGGGGTCCCTGCACTGCAAAGCTCTCAGATCCAGGGGAAGATTGATGCTGAGATGTATGGAGATCTCCAAGGAATGCTGGGCCTACAGATTTCCCCAAAGCCTTCCCTAGAGCCGGCTCTCTGAAGTTAGACTTCTAAGTGTCCTAAACTGTGAGAGAACAACTTTCTGGTTGTTAAAGCCATCCACTTGTGATGTTTCCATGACAGCAGCATTTAATAGCTAAAATAGAACCACAAGTAGATTATTAAGTGAACATGCTGATAATACAGCTGAGAAGAAAGAGGAACAAGTGAGCACTGAGCACCGAGTGTGTTAATAACAAACGGACAAAGGAAGGCCTGCTAGGGGAATGAATGGTGGAAAAAGCAAGTTCAGATGCAGGTCTTGCCCGGGCCAGCTGCAGCCTATGTGCCAGCAGGGTGCTACAAACCACACTTTGTCTTCCAGCTGCAGCTCTCCCACAGGTGTAAGGCTCACTGGCCCTCAAAAGTTCTTTAGCTCAGACTACTAAACCTTTACTTTAGCAAATCCTTGGTCTGTGACCAGGAACCCCAAGTCCCCCTAGAAAACACACCACTCAGAAGTTCCTCAGGAAGAACAAATCCACTGGGGATTGGCCTCAGAAATGGGGTAGCCCTGCCCTGGAGGGAAATACCAGTACCTCCCCATTATCCGTGTCATCAGGGCAGTGGTCCGACCACTTCCAGAATCTGGGGCTGACCAGAGGACCAGTTCTATCTTATCTGATAATGCACCCACTTCCTCACTTATAGACATGGCTAGGTTCCAAAGAGCAGGTCATTCATTATACAGAAATCAGTTTCAGTGTTATGTGAAAAAGGAAGATGATCAGAACACAAAATGGAGGATTGACTCTATCATAAATAACTGTCAAATGATTACACCGCAACATAACTGCCAAACGGCTGAGAGTCATGGCCCAGCCAAGGGGACACAACCCTAATCATCACAGCCAGCATTACTTTGTACCTCAGCTTTTGCAGGGTATACCCTTTGATGGTTGATGACGCATGGAGGGGATTGTAACCATGGCAATGAGACGATATATGATAGAATGAATGTAAAACTAATGTTCTCCCATATAAACTATCACATAATTCACAGTAACATTAACAACACCAACAACAACAACAAAAAAACCCCGGCAAAGCCAGGGTCCAACTCCAAAGGGTCTGATTCTAAAGGCCCCAGCCCTGCTGTCTCCCAGGGGATCTTCTGAAACCCATCTCACAAGGCCTTGTGAGTTCTTGCAGGATTTGTGCACATACTGGATGTACGTCCTGAGCTATTTCAGCAAGTCCTGGGTCTTCACATCTCACTTCAGAGGGAAAACCCGTTGAGCCATTCCAGGACCTTCCCAGTGTTAGCAGGAAACGCCTCAAACCCAGCAAACCAGTGAAGTGCCCAGATTACGGGGTCCCCAAAGACCACTAAGGAGCCGACGCCGATGCAAGCATACAAGGGTTGTTTATTTAAGCTCGAGCTCAGGCCTCATCCGTATCCGACACAGCGGACTCGGGAAAAAGGCCCCGAACTCTTAGTCAGCGGGGTTTTTATAGAGGTTACAAGCAGGTTCGGGGGTCTTCAGCTTAGCTACTCTAGGATTGGTTTACATTTTGCAAGGTATGGGGAGTTACAATCTGATTGGTTAACTATTAGTAGCTTGAGCTGCTAGGTTAGGGTAAAGGAAAACATATATCATCCGGCCTTGAGTTGTCGGCAATCGTTGTCTATTCTTTACTGCTTGCTAGGGGAGGAGGGCTGCTCTCATGTAGCACGAGCTGACAGCGCATTCCTGAAACAGAGAGACGTGCTCTGGCCAAAGTACAAAATGGAGTCTTTTCTTGAGGTCTCACACCAGAACCGGTTGATTACCCCAATGTCACCCACCACGTGTGGACCTTAACCACTGTGCCCTCCCACTGCCTTGAAGAAAGGGGTCACATTGCTCCCTATATGGATCAGGCATCAACAGGGTGGTTTACAAGTTGGGCAGGCCTACCCTGAGCCTAACAAAGGCCAGCCCAAAGAGGAAAGACTGTGAGGTG